CCCCTCCCCGTCTAATCTATTATCATACGCCTGATCGGTCTCCCTATTTACATTAAGTTTTTTTTACAGAGAGAAAAAGGTGGTGGCCTTTACAGTGCAAAGTCTTTATAATTCAAGTCTACGGTATGAACTCAACGAGATGCGCTGGCTACACAAACCTGTGCCCAGAGCAACAAAGACGAGCTCTTTGTCGCTGACAATACCAGGCACGGCGCCCTTGTTGTACTCTGTGCACGGTGTGCCGTCGTTGCACACTTCTCCGTATTTGATGTCAGGATACAGAGACCTCAGGCCGTCCAGGGGCGTTTGGGTGAAAGATGGATCCTGGTTTGGGGCGTAGTCTCCGAACAATTGTGTGGCGTTGTCAGCCATTGGCCCTATGATCTGATATGAAGATACAATCATGCTTAGACAATAATATGTGAGGCATGCTGACAAAATGAGTTACTTCTTTAGGATTTTAGCCGTATGGAAATTGATACATTAACTTTATGGGTGGAGTTTGTACAATGTGTGGGTATGGTGTAATAAAACATCCGGCAGACTTGAAGAAAATGGCGTCCACTGAAAATCTATAAGTCTGACCCCAGTGTTGATTTTCGGCCGATATCTCCATTCTTGGATCGCGAGAAGTAACTCATTTTGTCAGCACGCCTCACATATTATAAACTTTATTGATTAGCAAGGGAGGTAAGCAATGTGATATGAGGGATTTTGCCCTAGTCGGCCAGACACTAATATTGTATAACATAGATAATTTCATGGCCCGATGCAGTCAACATAATATTATGTTGTAGTTCCTGTTGCACGAGTAGAAGAATTGGGAGGATATGGATCCGTGTCAGTGTATATGTGAGTATTAAATTCTGTCTGTGTCTTTGCAGTGTGTCGAAACAAACATGAGATTTATAGTCCTAAAACCATGGGTCTCCTTACGTTCTGTCATCATTTCCTAATGCTGCACGATGGCGATGATAAATCTTGTTATAATGTAATAGAGCTTAATTAAAGTCATGGATCAGAGAAAGTGGAGTTGCATGATGAAGTAGATGTACGCTTCCAACTGCCACACCAAGTTTCTCCCTCGTGCTCCCCCCCCC